GTCCCGATTAGCTGGATCAGCAACTTCATTATATAGAAGTGTGACTATATTCATTAGTATATATGAAAAGCATTTCACTACATGGACATATATTGAAAAGACTTGACAGATTAGACAGCAGAATTTACAGTCAAAAAATACCATTCATATCGCTAAGTTTCTGATTCAGTTTTACAATCAGTTGATATTTAAAATAAAGTTTCATTTGATGTATATTTACTTACTCTAGCTATAGATAAAAGAAAAGATTAGTGAATATGTAAATGATGTAAATGTAACAATAGCAATTAGAGTAAACTGCTTAAAAATTAGAATACTTATCTTGTTTGAATATCTATTTTTATCTTTTTTCAAATAAATAAAAAAGAGAAATGTATTATTTAAATGTTAAAAGCTTGTATTTTGAATTTAAAAAGAAAATAATTCATTTATAAAAGACAGAATAGGAGATAATATTGCTTTATTCTCAATTTAGTTACACTAAAATGTGATCAATCTAATCTAACTTAATGTTTGAGCACAAATTAGCCAATCAACTAATCACGTGTATTAAGTATAAGACGAACTACCCTAAGAGCACCTCAAAAAATTCTGTGTAAATCATATGATTATCACATGACTGATCATCATATGACTGATTTATATATAATAAATTAAACTTTTATGATTATGTTTATATAAAGGTATTTTTTTTTACTTTTAACATGGATTTTAATATTAGTATTTTACAAAAATGTAAAAAATGTCAAAAAAGTTTACCTTTAGAAGCCTTTATTAATGAAAATACATATCAATTTAAAACTTGTAATATATGCCACCTCCAATCTTCTCTACAATATAAAAAATTCAATGAATCTGATTCTAAAATAGAACTTTTAACACCAAAAGAAATGTCAAGATGTTTATATGAAAAGATTTTAGAAATTGATACTAATGAATATTTAGAAAATAATTTAATGAATATAAATTTTAACTGCAATATTTCAATTGATATGATAGATGGCGATCTAAAAAATATATCCAAGACGATCATTGAATTATTAGATGAAAGTGATAGCTATTATTATATTATAAAGATTTTTATAATTTAAAGAAAACACCTGATGTTTTAATATTTAGGTATAAATGTTCTCAATGTCAATCTCTTGCAAAGAGATCTAGGAAATATGAAACTATTGAAAAACAAAGAGATCGAATACCAATTGAATAATTTAACTATAATAGGTTAATTAAAATTATACTTAATATGAAAATCAAAACTGTATCAGTTCACCTTCAGCATTCTATCATTCATAAATGACCTGAACGATTTGGTGTAGATGAAAGTATAAAAGAAGAAATTAGAAAAAATATTCATCTTATTTCAAGTAATATCTTTCAGATTTTGAAACATAATAATCCTAATTTAATACAAAAGCAAGTACATGTTTGATGGTCAATATTATTTAAGCAAAATATGTTAGAGATAATGATCAACTAATTTCAGCTGAAATTCTTCTAAAAGAATATGAATATAATATTTTATTTAGTAATACAAAAGACAGAGTTAAATTTTTAAGCTTTACTACACCATTTTTTGAAAAAATGATAAAAAATCGAGAAATTATTGTTGATGCAACATATAAGACCAATATTCTTAGATATAAACTTTATGCTATTATTAGACAACTTGATGGAGTGAGTTTTGTAATAGCTTATCTATTTATAAAAGGAAACAAAAAAAGTAATAGAGCACACACTGAAATTTTAGCTTTATTTTTTAAAGCATTATATAATTTAGGATTGAAAAATATTCAATTTTTTTTAACAGACAAGGATTTTGCGCAAATTTCAGTTGTATAATAAGTTTGGTCACATGTTAAAGTAGAAATATGTCTTTGGCATATTAAAAAGGCATTAAAAAAGCATCTTACTGATAATACATAGCTTAAAATAATAACATATAGTTCTAATTCTGCATATGAAATATTTGATTTTATTGATATTGATTTTTATCCAATAATAACAAATGAGAAGAAAAGCAAAAAGGATTTTTATTTTTGTCCTCAGAAATTACAATCAAAAATTATTGAAATTTTAGAAATACATTTACATTGACATTTATTAATTCCTAATATAGATAGAAATTATTTGTTAGCTGAAGAAATTTGAAGAGAATCTGTATATGAAATGTATAAATTTTATTTTGTTAATGATTTACAAAATGTGTGGGCGTATTTATAGACTAATTGGTATTGAAAAGAAATTTGGATTTTGTAAGCACGATTTGTAATACAAGAAGGAATTTGCATATTTCGTATAATAATGCTTTCAGAATCTCATTGAAAAGTAATAAAATAAGACTATTTACTTAAATTTTTTTGGCCATGCCTTGATTTAATAATTTATATTCTTCTTACTCGTTTGATTCCATATCATTAACAATAATATGATAAGTATTTATATGGTTGAGAAATACCTTTATAGAGAAAAGATTTTAAAAAAGAGTGGAATAGTTTGCGAAAAAAGAAAATTAATAATGAATATTTTATAAATACTGAAAAAGGGATATGTTCATATTTGGGCTTTTTAAAAAATTGATTTTTACTTTGTAAACATTTAATTAGAACTTCTCAATTTACAATTAATCCTTCTTTTTTTCGTAAAGTTTAACAACAAGAAATACATCTATTTATATTTTTATCAACTGAAGAATCAGCATCAATAATAGAACAATCAAGCATGTAGAATCCATTTTTTAATTTAAATAAAGGTAAATAGTATTTATATTATAATACTTATTATAACAAAAATTAAACTTTTTTAATTTAATTTTTAGATAATGTATTAAATAATATAATAAATTTAATGAATGATAATAAATCTACCGGCTAATTTGTAATTGCAGATTCAATAAATGATGGTGATAATAATCAACTATTTCAAGATTATAAATCAATACTACATGAAGTATTGAGAATTGTGAAAGAACAAGAAAATATTGGTAATAAATGATAGGCACAAGCAGTTCAGACAAGTTTTAAGGGTATTAAAATTTTAGTAACTGATATTAATGAATATAGAAGAAAAATTACAAATCTGCATACTTAGAAAGATTATAATAAATATATAATATTTTTAGAATAGTAATTTGGTTATAATTTGTTTAATTAATAAAATGGTTTTTTTAAATAAAAAAATCAAAGCATACATTTTATTATAAAATTGTTAAAAAAAAAATTTAAAAAAAATTTTCTTCATTTTTTTTTAAACATCGCAAATTCTGGCCAATTAATATAAAATCACATGATTTACGCAGAATTTTTTGGGATGCTCTTGGGGTAGTTTGTAGGACGGTCAAAATATCTGATTTATTAGTAAAATATCTCAACTTTAAATTGCTACTGCTTTATTGAAAATCATTTTATAGAAAATCTAAAATAATAATTTTGTTGAGCTTGAACTGTTCTATCATTCTACGATTATATTTTATATTTATCATTTTTTTTGAGTAAGGAGTAGCAATTTGAATTTTGTCTAATTTATTGGTTAGGATTAGGTTGTATGCACTGTATAGAATTCTTACAAACCATCACGATAAAATCAATAAATCTGCAATAACAATTGGTTAATTATCACGTGTCAGAATAAAATTATAAAAATTCTATTTTATTCATTACTTATATTAATTATAAAAATGGAATAATTCTGGGTCTCTGAAATGGATTTACCCCAGTATTACTGGCATTATGGCATTAAGAACATGTAACAAATATTTCTATGATTACGAGGGGTATGGTAATATAGTAGGATCTATTATTTGCATAGTGTATGACGTAAAAATACACTTAATAATAGTTAACATGAGGATTTGCAATAAAAGGTATTTTAACGCGTAAGAATTTTTTTTACTTGAAAATAATGTAGTTATTTCACAAACTTATTTTTTTTACGATTCTATAGCTTTCCAAAAATGGGCAGATATGTATGACATTGCGTAGACTTATATTGAACAAAATGATAAAATCAAAAAAAAAATTAATTATTTAAAATATGGGAATCCTTAAAATGTATCTGGGGTATAAGATAAATTTAAAAAGAAACGAACTTAAGCGACACATCGCGAGAAGCTGATTCAGGTAAATAGTATACAAACCTGTTTCCTTTAGGATTCCTTTGTGAGTTCGCCCAAACAATTTTGTTTGATTGCAGTGAAAAGGTGTAATTTCAATAAAACAATATTGCAAGGGAGATTTCCGTTCATATCATATAGTCATTTGAAATATGAAGTTTTCCTAGTGATTTCGTTCATTTTATGTGGTCGTTTTAGTTTACGATGATTTTCTTTGTGAGGTCACCTAGTGATACCCGTTTCGTTTCATGTATTCGTTTGGATTTTCTTTGTGAAGTTACCTAGTGATTCCTTTCTTTCCATGTAGTCATTTTGGTCCATGAAGATTTTCTTTGTGAGGTCACCTAGTGATACCCATTTCGTTCCATATAGTCATTTGGATTTTCTTTGTGAGGTCACCTAGTGATTCCGTTCATTCTATGTGTTCGTTTTAGACTACGAAGATTTCTTGTGAGGTCATCTAGTGACACCGTTCGTTCACATGTGGTCATTCTAGTTTACGAAGATTACCTTTGTGAGGTCACCTAGTGATACCCGTTATACTATATGGTTATTCTGGTCCACAAAGGACGTGATACCTAATGAAATTTCTTTGATTAAGGTCACTAATTCTGGAGATAAAATTTGTTATGTTCCTTATATCAAAAATTTTATGTTTATTATATTACTAATTATTGCTTAATGATCTTTCATTAACTTGATTTTTTATTACATATTAAAAATTAGTAATAAAGAAAATGAAAATCCTGCCAATAAGAAAATTAAACTAAGGTAAGGTATTATTATCCCTGATCAATCATTTTATATGTCAAACTAATCTCTCAAAATTATATTCAGCAAATCTGATGAAAACTTTAGTATAAAGCCTTATAATACTTTGTTAACAAAATTAGTATACTGATGATAACAAAACGGAAGACCTATCTTTAATCCATTTTGGATTTTGTAGCGTTGCTTTTATGGAAAAAGTTAAACTTGATGATAGTAATTCAATGATTAAGGTATTGTCATCTTCAGACTATCAACAAATTTAAACACATTAACGTTAAATTTCCATATTTTATTTAGAAAAGAATATCAGAATTGTTACTTGTGAGAAGAAACTATCAACTAAATCAATTTTAGAAACACATCTAAATATGATGTGAGTAGAGTTCCAGACGAGTCGAGTTAACTCACGAGTAAGATAAGCTGAGTCGAGTTCAAATCAAGTCGAGTTGGTGTTTTTTTTGACTCGATGATTTGCGAGTCAAGCCAAATT